ATAGATGCACATAGCCATTATCTAGACATTTCTAATGTCTAATCAATCATCCTACACTAGGACAAATATTGATTCTTTTACTTTCTCCCTTTACTTCTGTTTTTGTTTCTTCACTTTCTACATTTAGTAGCAGACCTGAGAGAGTAATGTTTGCCTGGAAGACAATATCCAGATTAAGGAGCTGCGATCATTTTTTTAAATTGGTCATGTCCTGGAACAGCATCTAAAAACTGCCCTAGTTACATTTTGGTAATAATGAACAATGTCTCAATGTTCTCATCTTTCATTTCAATAGTGAAAATTTCATTTATTAGCATATTTGCTCTTGAAGAATGTGAAACAACTTATTTTTTGCATGTTGATATATGCACGAATGCTGTAGATATTACTACATAACTTTTGACAGTGCATACAAACTGATTTGCCAGTTATTTGTTTTCTTTACTCCCGTCCACTTGATTACTTGCTTCCTACCACAACCTTCAACTTCAAATATATGAAGTCAGATATACTTACACAGTCTAAACACTAATCACCTCCTGGCAGGATTGATCAGAACCAAACATTTTGTACAGTAAGAAAGATAAACTGTCCTCTAGCAAGTTCAACACAGTGAAGAATGAAAGAAGGTAAGCTAGCCAGCTTTATATAAAACCACATTAGTAAATACTGAGCCCACCTTCCAAAAAGTTTTTGGCCAAATCACTACAATAGTCTCATTCTACCCTCTCCTTTTCCTTAAACATCCAATGAGAGATTTCTTCATTCACCAGACCTACACCTCTCTGATCATCACCAGGGACTCGTCCCACTCTTTTTTCCTTTTATGCTTCCATTTAAAAATCTTCTCCCTAGAATTCATCTCCGATTATTCCCTTTTTCTGTCAAACTTACCACACATTTGCCCAAAATCTCAGCTACCCAAAAATGCTTGAACATGACAGCAAACTACTCCACCCTCCCAATACATACACTTCTCTTGCCACAGCTCTCACCCCCTTCATCCCAAGAATCTTTAAAAAAATTGCCAGCTTTTAGAGATCAAAATCCTAGGTGTCCCCATGACTAATTTTTCAATTTCATTTTTAATCCCTGAAATATGTTACTAGATTTTTCACCAGCCATTGACATGAACAGTACCTTAAGACTTTCATACCTCAAAGTTCCTAACAAAAAACATGATAGAGGTGAGAACAGCAGGTCTGTCAGTCTGCTCTCAAGAGTCCAACTGTTTCATCCATATATTTCAAATGCTGCAAACTGCAAGGTACATTACCTATCCTCCAAATGCAATTCTGAATTAAAACATGTGTACACTGATCAAACATTTAGAGAAGATGTGAATATGAAAAATCCCTTAAAGAAGAGTACGAAATAACAGGTGGACCAGGCATGTCAAGGATCTGCAGGTTCTAGTCATGATTTCTGATTTACTCCTGTTGGAGCTATGTAAATAGCTGATGCAAATGTAAGTCATTTATGAAACATTATATTGGGGGGAATGTTAATATAAAATTTCACTGAGAATTGTCCTCTAGTCTCTTCCATAGAGTTCCCATAATACTGTTGAAAAGAAGAATTGTGTGATACCAATAAGGAAAAGTGTAAACTACAAATTTTAATTTAAAATAATATTTTCAGCTATTTTTAATTCTAATTAATGTCCTATTTAATTACTGATAAAACTCCAAACATACCCTCATAATAGGTCCAATCAAATAATTACATTCCCATTAGATTTATAGCCCCACTTTGAGCATACCCCAACCAGTTATTCTATTAGCTATAATAATGTACTGCTGATGTAAAGAAAAGCAATTAATCAAAACTATTTTCTTATTCTAAATGCTAAGCTCTTTTAACCTAATTTTCTAGAAGCCTCAGCTCAACTTCATGTTGTTGTTTCTTGCATTAGAATTTCCTCTAATCTATTTGTACTTGTCTTTACCCTCTGGTTTACCATGCCCAACTGCTGCTGAACACCCAGTGGAAATAGGACCAAGTCATTTTTTTCCCCAAGGCTGTTCCACTAGAGGGTAGCATTGTGCTAAAAGCTTTAAGGTAGCTATGGTTCATCCTACTTTTAAATGATTAAACAGCATTCCTAAAGATTTTTTTCCTTGACATGCATCAAGAAGATAGATGCATCATTGATTTGGATAAAAAAAAGAACACGCTTTCAGAGTTCCAGGGTTGCAAAATCGTTCTCTCCTTCAACATGGGGCAGGAAAAGTAGTGATGGACTTAAACTGCAACAAGGAAAATGTAAGCTGCGTATTAGGAAAAACCTTTCTGACTTATGAGGGTAGTTAAGCATTGCACTAGGTTACCTAGAGAAGTCACGGAATCTCCATCATTAGAAATTGTGAGGAGGAAATTAGATTACTGTTACTGTTGAGAATGGTTAAGATATAGATGTTTGTGCTTTGGTGACCTCTTGAAGTGCCTTCAAGCTATTTTTCACCTTATCATGCTTCAAGACTACACAAGAAGACACACAAAATATTTTAGAGAAAGACAATTTAGAGTAAGCATGTACAGCATGAAAAGATTTTAAAAACTATGTCCATATTTATTACTGTTGATGCTTCTCCTTACAACCAAGTAAGTTAGAAAGTGAGTTTACTCCCTTTGTTCTAGAATTCTTTCCGATAGGAATTAACTAGCGTTAAGGAATCCCCATCAGAGGACAGCCAAGCAATATATATTTGGAAAGACTGAAATGAGCATCTGATCTGATTTCAAGAGGGGGCTGGACAGAAGTATGGTTTGGATAACATGTACTTGACTTACAAATTTGTGATTCAAATATTTTTACAAAGACAAGCTTCTGAGGGTGCTACAGATCTAGTAGAATAACCCAAACTTTTGAGAATAGTGGACAACCTGCATACACAGAAACTGCTAGTGTGTGAAACAACGATATGCCCCTTGACACTATGTGAAAAAAAACAACAACTTATCTTCTCCAGACAAAAGTAATCTCACTCATTCCGTACTCAGTTAATGTAGGCAAACCTCATCAGACCTATCATGTGATCTGGGGTAACACTGAAAAGGCAAAATAGTTTAAAGGAAATCTTAGCCAATTTGGAAGCAAGTCTCCTCACACTAGCAGAACTAGCTTTTTCTATTAAATACTCTAAATAGGTTAAAGCACAGGAAGGCTCTGTATTTTGTTTGACTTGTCAAAGAAAGAATGGCACATTTCACTTTAAAGGAAAGGAAATCTAGTGAACTTCCAAAACGTGTTCAAGCATCAGTTTCCTGAATTCACTAAAAAACAAATTTAACTCTCAGGTATAAAGAAAAAGGAAAGATCAGACTGTGAACAGAAATAACACAATGCTTCTAGACAGAAGCCATGGAGACAAAATAAAGCCCCTTAATTTTTTAATGCTCCAAAATCTAGTCTTCTGAGCCAGACGTCAAGCACAAGTTTAACCTCTTCCTTTGATTGTGATGACTCAGTCTAAGTGATCCCTTGTCATCTAATTTTACATGCATGTAAAAAGAATATGAAGTTTTTTGATATTCCCCTCTCCAGAAGTGAAATGCCCAGTTATCACAGCTCTTCACATGCTGTACTGGACTAGTTTGCCCAACTCAGCCAAAGAGCTAAGACTGAAAGTTTCAAAAGCCTAAGGGAATTAATTAAATAAATCTCACTAAATTTCAGTGGGAGAGAGCCACCTACCTCCTTAGGCTTGCTCCAAAAAAAATATCACCAAAAGGATGCAAATTAAGGTAAAATAAAGCCAGGCTGCCCTGCTTCTAAGATATCAAAGGAAAAATGCAGTCTATGGACTGTTTTTAATTATTACATTCCAGAGAATATTACAAGCAGGGTTGGAAATACTGTATGTTACTAAGGTTGCCTAATGCTTCCCATTATAAAATGCTGATTCTAATTGCTTATAACTATGACAAGCTTGGACCATTTGAATTTAAATTTACTTCACCACGTGCCTCCTTCTGGTTGTGGGTTTTGTTTCGTCTTGTT